ATTAAGCGTAGGCGTATTAGATTACAGTTTGTAAAACGATTTTACACTGGAATCATGCTTCGGTATAAACGGGCCGGATTGACTGGAGTGATACCACGGCTTTACAGAAAATCGGCGTGAAGCAACGACCAATCTCGTCTCATGTAACCTACAGAGAACTATAATATTAAGTGCCTTTTTTTTTAAGGGGGGAAAATCATCGAATGACTGCTCCCGCCTGGGTGAGGCGGAAGGGAGTGTCAGACTCTTACTGACTAAAAACCACCCCGTTCCTTCTCCTGCACGTCGAGCCGGAGCCCCGGTTACCCGTTAGGTTCTCCGCGACAATATTAAGTGCCTAGAGGTATTTAAAAATAGGTATCCGCCATCTTGAATTTAAGAAAGCAAATGATTGGATAGAAGCTTACGGGTCGTATTAAGATCATGTAGGTAATGTGCATTTGTATTTATTCATTATTCGATTTTTGATATGGTCATTTGAAATATCGTGTGACGTAACTATTTATATACGTCATTTTATACGGAGCGGTGACGTATCGACCTCCCACTCCTAAACTTAAATTCGTTTTATCTAAGTATTGTTAGCTTAAGTGACAAAAATAAATAAATACGTGTATAATATTGTTTCATTGTGTAACTGACGGACTAAATAGGTTTTTTATTTTCATACCCAGTCCCAACCCAATAGGGTAGTTGTCAGACAGAGTATGAAAATTAAAAATGTAATTAGTCCGTCAGTTAGATAATGAAATAATATTAGACACGTGTTTTTGTTTTTAATTCTTGTATAAAGTTACAATACTTAGATAAAATAAAGTTAAGTTTAGGAGTGAGAGGTCGTTACGTCACAAAGTGCCACAACATGTAGCGCAAAGTGACGTCACACAATATTGAGATTAAACTGTCAAACACCGCGAGGACACCTTTGACCGCCACCTATTGTTATTTAATTGTTTCTATACTGACGGTACTCAAAGAGTTAATATAATATCGTCGAAAGTATTTAATTTTGTAAGAAAAGAAAAACTACGTGTCTAATGTTTTAAATTAATTACCAGACGGATATTAAAATAAAATTTAGGCTACTTATATACTATAAGAAAATTTGTTACTTAACAGTTGTGCACTGGATTTGCACCGAAGGGGACTAACATCTGCCACAATATATTGCATAGTCAAACATAACGTGAAACACAAAATATAAACACGAATGACTCAGGTCATACTGATAACTGTTCTTCCCACAGAACATTTAACCTTTATAACCACAGACTGATAAATACGCAGCAATTATTATTATACCGTCATAATAATAATATTATTAATTAACGCGTAGCTTATATCTTATTAATAGTTTAAGATGAGGGGAAGAACATTCAGTTTATCAGTCAAATAAGTAATACAATTTATTGTCTTCATTTACGGGTGAATGTATTATCGGCAAACCGTAGTACACTTTTTAAACAAAATCTATTATCGCCCAAAGACTGTCGATTGTACTTTGGCATATCAATATCCGATATTGCATAGATATTTTACTGTTTAAAAAGAGCCTACCGGGTAAGCGGTCGGACAAAGTATTAATGTATTAATGGGTATAGTGTATATTATAATTATATTAATTTATGTTTATCTCTGAAATATACACGTGTATCTTTGTTTTTTCTATTAAATCATTGCTTGCTTCTTGCTCCTACCATTAACTCTTCTCTGCATCACCCAAAGGTCAGACTGGGAGTAAATGCCTGCGGCATTAAGTCTACCTTATGTACACGTTATGTATGAAGCTTAAATAAATAAATAATTTAGCATAAAGCCTCTTTGTACCAATACAGCAAAAACTAGTATCAATCATTATATTCTGAACAGCTACATTGGTTGGACAACTGAACTTCACGCTACTTAACTCATCGAGTACCGTATTTATAGACACAATTAAAGAACAATAGGTTGCGGTCACCGGTGTCCGCTTGGTGTTTGACAGTTTAAACACCATTTAGTAAACTAAAAAATGGAGCCCTGCCTACAGTTAGTCCACGTACTAAATCTAAGTAATTCATTTCACAAGTTTCAGTCGTTAATGGAACTGAATTTCAGCACAATATCGAACAATGTAATCTGAACAAGTTAGTTTTGAAATTGTCCCTGAAACTTTGCTATTAAAGTTAACAAACAATTCTATCTGTCTCGCTAACTGTAGTTTAGCTTGAAGGTAGGGGTACATTGAAACTCTATCTATTAATTTGATATAAGTGTGTGAGAGCTACGCTTCGACACGAATGGGCCGGCCCGGCTCGACTGGAGTGGTACCACGGCTTCACAGAAAACGGACGAGAAACAACAATTACGTTGTATTTCGTCGTGTAAGTGAGGTTTCAGGGGGCCCTATTACCTTCCTCCCTCAACAATCAACAATCCAACCCCGAAACCTCAATCCCCAAATCTCTAACCCCCATAAGCCCGGCAAGACATTTATGACTCATCTGGTGTTTCTGAATGTGTTGTGTGTTCTCCATGAATGGCGCCGATTACTTACCATCGGGTGATTTGTTAGCTTCAATGCTGCCTTTTTTTATTTTTTACTTGTGAGGGGAATATTATCCAATGCCTTGTCCCACTTTGGGTTAAACCAGAGGGAGTGTCAGACTCTCATCAACTAACAACCACGCCGTTCCTGCTGGTGCCCCAGAAACCGGTTAGGCCTTACGCGGTTCCGTAGGTAATCCCATATTTTGCAATTAAAATAAGAGCTTATACATGTAATAAAACTAAATCAATATCTTACAAATAATTTAATTTTCAAACATAATAAATTAATGTGGAGCCTCAATATCGTTTTTTAGTGGAAATTAGTCTTCAAGTCTCAGGTCGTAGAAATTACTTTCCAATGGCTGCCGCTGATCCCACCACGGCAACTGCTGGTCCTGCCTTTATTATACCATCGCGAATGTTTTGACCCAGCTTCTCCTGTAAAGAAATATTGAAGAAATGAGACTAGAATATAGACATCGTCGACCGTATGTTACCAGCGAATTCTTGGATATTTCGGTCACTTTGCCCTTTGTTGGTAAGGTGGAAGGAAAAGGACCACGTGGCCGATGACCTAGCCCATGGTGTGACCAAGTTACCAACTACACTGGACTCTCTTTTACCAAAGCCCTGAGAGAAGCCGAAAACAGGACAAGATGGAGGGAAATAACACAGAGAGCAATGAAAGCCTTTCAGGGGCACGACCTTCAGAAATGAAGCAAGTGATCGAGAAGAAGAAGAATAGACATCGTCACGACTGCGCATGCTGCTCATGAGGAAGAGTCCCTCTGTGCTAAACCTTTTCTCAGTATACTCACGTGAGTAACCCGTCATTTTTAGTTAATTTAGTATGTCTCACGATAGTTATTATAGAAATAGACTAGAATATCTAGTAAGTCGTATGAATACAGAAATGATAAAACATTTTCAGTAACAATAAATTGCAATGTTATAATGGGAGCATAGAAAAAAATTCACCACCTTTGGCTCTTCACGTGAGTATTGGAACCTATTGAGGGACTGACATTTGACAGCGACCTGACAGAAGCGCTCTCTGATTAACCTGAACCTTTATGAACAGCCGATAGGTAAGCAGGGGCTTACCTTATTATTATTTATTTTATTTTCATTTATTTACACTTTATTATTGCCCAGTTAGGCAGGGGCCTAACTAGGCAAATGTGGAAAGAAAGAATTGTCAAACCTTCTTGTTTAAAGGACTACAGGACGCTTGAACTCCAGCCATGGACTACTACATATAATGTAATAATAACATCATTATGACTTACTATAATGATATTATATAAAATAGCCTGCACAAAATTAATGAAATACGTGAATGTATTTTGCAAATCAGCCAATACACGCGTCATTTTTTTTAATCTATGTGAGGCCGGCATTTCATAACCTACTACTTTGGGAAGTAATGCCGAAACAAACTCTTAATGGTCGCTAAATATAGAACAACATTCTATGGAAGAACTCGTTTTATGAGCAAAATGCAAGCAAATAAACATAACATAACATCACGCCTTTTATCCCTGAACGAGTAGGCAGAGGTGCACAGAAGTAACACCCACTTTTCACTATTTATGTTATGAGTCCCATGTAATAGGGGGTGAGCCTATTGCCATATACCGGGCACAATTCCAGACTCCGTGCTACTACTGAGACTTTGAGATGCAAGCAAATAAACACAAAAAGAAAATTGTAAAGAAGATCCTTATTTGTAGACTATGCAAATATTTTTACACATACAAGATTATACTTCAATTTTATGTACATAAGATTCAGATTCATTGTTAGTGTGTTCTACTCAAGATAAGTGAAAACTTGCTCAATAATATTTAATTACTTGTTAAAATAGTACAGTAACCAGCACACTAATGTGTCAATTTTTGTCATTGGATTTTCTACTATATAACTAAACGATAGAGTTGAAATCGAATTACGATAATTGACAGAGATTTTGTTTACTGGGTAAAGCCCGCCACAACCTCCCAAAACCGCTGCAACTTCTGTAAGCCAGAATCTACGTAGATACAACCATGAAAACACCGGAACACTGAAGTCCGGTCAACCCAGGGACATGAATAACTGTCTTGGTTCCCGCAACGAAATGAATCAGAAGATATTGTAAGGGAAGAAGAAAATAAAGCAGAGATGTATAAAATCCATGTCATAATTCCCACATCTGGAATTCGGGTCAGAGATCGTCGTTTATAAGGTTAAAGTTTATCAGAAAGCGCCTAACCGGTCTGTGTCAAACTAAAATGTGTAGTCCCTTATTTAGTTTGTCACCCACGGCAAGACTAGAGGGGGTGATATAACTGTTATGTATTCTACTCGTTTGGCTATAAACAGTTAATGATAGTGATGGTGATGAATTGGTTATACTTCCTTACAATGCATTTAAAAATAGTGGTAAGTGTATTGACTTCAATTATTTAAAAGTAATGTTTTTTTTATTGCTATTTGGCTCCTCTGGCCAAGTTGACGGAAACTGTATTCACAAGGCAGAGAAGGAATAGCGTTCCGAATCTCATGAAGGGTTTTTTTTTATATTTGATGAGGCGACGTTTGACCACTATCTGGCCTGGTGGCAAGCGATGATGCGGTCTACGATACGATACGATGTACTCAGTCTGTCTAAAGTAATAAATTATATTTATAGATCAGATATGGCTTAGACAAAGAAAAAAATAATGTATACGAAATAATAACAGATCACTGTATTATGTGAGATAGAAACAAGTTTTGATGGGGCTAATTACTTATCCTAGCTTAAGTGCGGTAAGATTGTCAGATTCTCACTAAAAACTACCCCATTCCAAGTCCTGCTACCCTTGCAAGTCCAGTATTAAAAATACTTACCACTTTCTTGAAGAATTTCCACCTGGGTTCAGGAGCTCCTGACACGGTGGACATTAAAACAAAACAAGCGAACACAAACAAAAATATCTTTGTGAAATTCATTATTATTGTGAAATAAAAAAAAATATTTATTATTGCAAAATAATATGTGTATTATTGTTTTTGTATTTCGAACTCTGGTGATACGACACGAATGATGCTCTACCTGTAATAGTGAGTGTTTAAATACTTTCTTTCTTTCTAACGTATATGCACTATCTCCTTGTCATGTTTCAAAGTATTTTGAACTTTGTTTTAAGTGTTAGTATAAGTCATATTGCAGTGTAAGCGTCTTCTAACTGTATAGTATGCGTATCGAACGCACATACTCAAGTACGGGGACTCCCTCAGTCCCAACTGGTAAAAGATACCATACACTGGGTTCAAGTTTTTTAATTTCAAATGCGGTTTAACGATTGATTAGTTTTATTTATTGATTTTCTTTTGTAGAAACGATTAAACGTTAGTAATTTAGAACCATTATTCGAATTTTTAGTAGGTACTAGACTTCAAGCGAAACCATATTTAAAAAACAGGTTAGGTATTATTACTTTTTATTTATACATTCGACGAAACTTTTTATTGAACAAAAAAGTGTGCAAATATTATAATAGTTAGTAATGATTGTTTATGACGTTTGAAGTCACGACTAATTGAAATAACAATTATAATTGATTGAAACGTGACGTCATAGGACCTTTATGAATTCAAAGTCAAATCGTTTATTATAGAACAATACCTACAGGTTTTTAGATATCTATCACATAATAACATAACATAACATAACATCACGTCTTTTATCCCCGAAGGGGTAGGCAGAGGTGCACATTATACCACTGTACAATGTAACACCCACTTTTCACTATTTATGTTATGAGTCCCATGTAATAGGGGGTGAGCCTATTGCCATATACCGGGCACAATTCCAGACTCCGTGCTACTACTGAGAATATTTAAAAACCCAGTAATACTTTGCCCGACCCGGGAATCGAACCCGAGACCCCTTGCTCGGCAGTCGCACTTACGACGACTCGGCCAACGAGGCTATCACATAATAGTATTACGCCTTTCAGTTCCCATATATCCCCAAGCGGTCACCGGTGACCGCTCTCCACTAACTACGTTATAGACCTTATTTCCAATGCTTAGAGACTACTTTTGTATGAACAAATTTAGGGGATGAATGCATTAGGTATACATAATATTTGGTACAAATGGTACTTTGTGTTCTGACATGGATAAGTTTAATGTACATTATTATTATACTCCTATAACAGCCCACTGCTGAAAAAATCCTTTTCTCAAACGGAGAAGGTTTGAGCATTAATCACCACAAGATTTTAAACTTAACTGCCTCGTTGGCCGAGTGGTCGCAAGTGCAACTGCCATGCAAGGGGTCTCGGGTTCGATTCCCGGGTCGGGCAAAGTATTACTGGGTTTTTAAAAATCTCAGTAGTAGCACGGAGTCTGGAATTGTGCCCGGTATATGGCAATAGGCTCACCCCCTATTACATGGGACTCATAACATAAATAGTGAAAAGTGGGTGTTACATTGTACAGTGGCATTAAGTGCCGTAATGTGCACGTCTGCCTACCCCTTCGAGGATAAAAAGGCGTGATGTTATGTATGTATGTATGTAGATTTTAAACTTACTTATAATTAGAAATTATAAGTCCAGGTTTCCTAACGAGGTTTTCTCTCACCATTTGTCTAAATAAACTCAGAAAGTTTAATGTTATTTTCTTATAATATTGACATGACGATAACAATTTGTACTTTTAGTTCTGACATGAAGTTGAATTATATATATTTTGTTTTTTAATGTTGATATGAATTTGAATGCATACTTTTAATATTGATATAGTGATCTTTAGCAAATTAAATAATTGCTGTCATTAGTGTAATTAATAAATAAATACAGGGACATCCATTTTTCCCTCGACCAGAAAATTAACCTATCTGCTCTAGTCAGTTTTGAAATGCGTCATACCTACTATTTGCTACGACGGGAAATTGTAAAATATGTCACAAAATATAACAATTATCATCAACTTTTAACTAAGAATTTTCATTAACCAGGCATTTTTTGTTCGGCAGCCGCATTTAAGACCATTTAACCGATAAACTTGTACCTATTATAAAACCATGTTCATAACACTATAAACATAAATATACATAACCATCTAGACCACAACACAAGTACAGATCAATGATTCATTATGCCGTAGAACAGTCGAGAATGCTAATTACCTCAGGGAAGTTTAACTATCTGAGGATTAATTACTTGCATATTACTGTTTAATCCATGAATAAAGAGATACGTTTAATTCATCATCACACATTTTATTTGCCAAATAGGTAAAGCCTTTGTTGTCATTTTTGGTGTTTTTTTCTTCAAACAACGCGATTTTAAACCCAAACCGATTGCACAGCACAGAGACATAAGTTTTCACTACCGTGAAACAGAGTGAATAGAATTCAAAGGGTAAATAGATGTGAAGGGTAAAAAGTGTGGGAGAGCCATGCTTCTGCACGAATGGGTCGGCTCGACCGGAGTGATACCACGGCCTCACAGAAGACCGACTTGAAACAACGCTTGCGTTGTGTTTCGTCGTGTGTGGGTGAGGTTATAGGAGCCCCAACCCCCCCCCCCATTTCCCAATCCCTGAATCCCCAACAATCCTAAAATTGCACTTGTTACACGTTTGGTATTACAGGTGTCCATGAGCGACGCCGTCTGCTCATTAACCATCATAGGCCATAAAATGTTACCTATGTATATCATTCTACCAACATTTATTCATCTCTCTTCTTTATCTATTTACCCCTCTAATTCTATTAACCCCATATTACCGAAATTTTGAATCCACAGTGATCGCATTGGCTGAGCAATTGACTGCTGTGCAACATGTCACAGTTTCGATTCGATCGAAAAATATTTTTTATATAAATAAAAAGCAGTTAATCAATCAATGTATTGCAATATTGATCCAACAAATAACCTTGATCTTATTTAGAAGATTATCAATTTCAAGTTATACCTGAAGTATCTGAAGAAGTCTTGGCATACTTTTGCATAAGTATTTATTTAGCTACGTCATTATTTCATAACGCCCACGCGTGATTCTACTTGAAGATGCTACGCATGACATACGCAGTGGTGCACTTGACAATGCAACATTATAAAAGTAGTCATAGAGTTACTTGGACGCGTTGTCTTGTTCATCTATAACCATTTTCTTATTGTGTACATAGATAAATGCATTATTGTATACCATCGCGTCCTACCAACGGCAAGTACCAATCTGACTTTTTCCGAGTTATATGCACTTTTATAAGATTATTCAGACACCACTGACAAACGGTGAAGGAAAACATCGTGAGGAAACCTTGGCTTATAATTTTTAATTATAAGTTTGAAATCGCCAACCCGCATTGAGCAAGCGTGGCGATTGATGCTCAAACCTTATCCGTGTGAGAAGAGGCTTTGCTCAGCAGTGGGCATTTATAGGCTGTTGATGATGGTGATGATGAACTTCAATTTAAAAAGAAAAGTATAATAAACATATTGTGATGAAATTATTAATCGCGAATCTTTTCCCTACCATCAGATAGGGGAAAAACAGAATATAAAATATTACGGTGACACAGTTTTTCATCGAATTTTTACACGTAAAACGATATTTTTTAAACTTTTGCTGGACCTTATATTACTCTTTTTATTTAATGTAAAATGTATCTGCTTCTTATTCCAACTACAATAAATAAAAAACTACAATAAAGTAAGCATGTTAATACTGACTACATTTTAACAGTAGCCTAGTTTTAATAGTTATCTACGGACAAAGGACAAACATATGAATATGATTCAGAAAACAAGTTTAAAAAAATATAACGAAACAAGAATCAGTTTCACTAGAATCGTGTATTCTACTTAATGATCGCGCTTTTACCATCACTAACAAAAAGTTATGCATAAAATTAATCTCTTAACAAATCTATGCGTATAAAAACGATTAAGTAATAAATAAATCTGAGAACCATTTGATGCGCAATTATAATATAAATATAAACAATATACTAAAATAAACCTGTACATGATAAACACACTGGATAAGGGACTTCACAGGCAACGTCCCGATGTTCGCTCAAACCTAATTAACTGAGAAACAGTTATCAAAAACTCGTTTTGCTGGCAAAAAAATTAAAGTTGTAATTCTTATTTCAAGTCGTTTAAGGTTCAAAATTCAAACAAAAGAAGATGAATAAACTGTAAAATAAAATTGGTGTTGTTTTTTAAAGTTTAGTATATATTTCTTGTAAATCTTGGTAGAGCATCATTCGTTGTGTATCAACTGCAGTGCAGTTTTGTTACTATTAAATAGCATTATTATTTTAACATAATAATAGTAAAGATGAAATTCTCTCGTGTGTTTTTGTTTGTTTTCGCTTGTCTGGTCGCTTTGAGCGCAGTCAGCGCCGCGCCAGAACCGAGATGGAAGTTCTTCAAGAAGATTGTGAGTACTATTCTATTTATCTATTTACAATTAGGTATGTGGTAAAATTATTAAAATAGCTCAAATAATAGAAGTTCAATTATTCAAATCTACAAACTCATAACGTAGGTAGCTATATTGTTAATCGCAATCGCAATACTGAACAATATTATTGCCGTGTACTTAAAAACTATACTATGTTCTTGTTAAGGATTCCGGATATCGAAAAACTCAATACTTGTTTCCATAGCATAATATTACATCACGCGTTTTATCCCTGAAGAAGTAGGCAGAGGTGCACATTACGGCACTTAATGCTACTGTACAATGTAACACCCACTTTTCATCATTTATGTAAGGAGTCTCATGTAATAGCGGGTGAGTCCATTGCCATATACCGGGCACAATTCCAGACTCCGTGCTACTACTGAGATTTAAAAAAAAAGACAGTCGTATTTGCGAAAGAAAGAGACAGAAAGTCGCAAATGCGACGATATAACGCCAATAAGAACGAATCAAGGACTCATTTTAGTATGCGTTCGAATTATAAAATGCAAAAAAATGTATTGATTTAGTTCAAAATATCAAGAAATTTTAAATGTACCTCACAATTACTTTATAATAGGTATTGATAAGTTCAAATTCATTGAATGAATGACTGTATCATGAGAGAAAACATTTAAATAAATAAATGACTTTGTCACGATATTAATACAAATTATTTTTAATTGAAAATATTTTGATAACAATTTTTAATTCTTCTATTTTTAATTTACAGGAAAAAGTGGGCCGTAACATCCGAGATGGTATCATCAAAGCAGGCCCCGCTATCGAGGTGCTGGGTGCAGCCAAGGCGCTAGGATAAACATTATTTTAAAATACATAATAATAGAATTATTATTTGTAAATATACCTCATAATACTCATTCCGCCATAATAATAATTATATAATAATAAATGCATTTTTTAGTTTCTACTTCTTTCGTTTTATTTACTTTTACGATTTTTAAATAGGGTTTTTATTTATTGAACCTTCAATATTTGATAAATTTAATTTGTAATCACGATCAAGATGATATAAATTATCATCAAATCACAGTGTAAAGAAAGAAAGAAAGAAAAACCATTTATTTTGTTACAACACACAACAAGAATTTAGGAACACACTAAAAAGCCTATGGTAATTTCAGCGTGATTGACGGACAAACATGTAAACATACAAACAAAGAAACTTTCACATTTATAATATTACATAAACATAACATAACACCACGCCTTTTATCCCTGAAGGGGTAGGCAAGGGGTACATTATGCCACTGTACAATGTAACGCTCATTTTTCCTATTTATGTTATGAGTCCCATGTAATAGGGGGTGAGCCTATTGCTATATACCGGGCACAATTCCAGACTCCGTGCTACTACTGAGAATTTAAAAAAAAACAGTATTACTTTGCCCGACCCGGGAATCGAACCCGAGACCTCTTGCCCGGCAGTCGCACTTGCGACCACTCGGCCAACGAGGCAGGTATTTATAATATTAGTGTCGTTCTAATAGTTTTTAACCAAGCCATATCTTCTATAACTATGGGTCGATTCAGTAGTCAACCAATGATTACAGTCTCTGTACTGAAAATTATCTTTATTTTCTTAATTGCACAATAGATAACTGTGATGACTGTACATGTTGGCAAATTTGTAAATATCTACATTGCAATAGGGTGGATGAATAATTTTTATTTCAATGTCCGTCTGGTAGATTATTTGAAAAAATTCGACACGTATTTTATATTTTCTTACAGAAACCAATAGTTTCTACGATATGTTGATTTAAAATATTGCATGACGTCACTTTTGAGTACGATTTATACTCTAAAATCACATAGCTATCTTCCACTTTTAAACTTTGATTCGTTTTATATAAGTATTGTGTTCTTATACGTCGAAATAAAAAAATACGAGTCTAATGTTTTTTTATTACTTAACTGACGGACTTATTAGATTTTTAATTTTCATACCCTGTCGTCATCCCTTATCCTATCCCTTGGCAAAGTGAAGAAAGAACTTAAATCAAGTTGAATTTATAGTTAATTTGTGGAAACTCATAAATGTGCCCAATAATCTTACGCTATTTAATTTTAACGTTAAGTATTTATGTACATATTTTTAGTCATGTATGTATAGTTTATTAAATTAAGTATGAATAAGTATATATGTTACCGGCCAAACCCGATTTTAGGACAAACTAGTTTTGCCTAGGCTAAACTAGTTCTTCCTATACGCATTATGATTAACTAGTATAGCCTAGTTCAAACTAATTTGTCCTAAGCCCGATAGGATAAATTAGTTTAGGCTAGGACAAACTAGTTGTTCCTGATATAAAGACGCACACTCTAGGATAAACTGGTATGGCCTAGTCATAATATGATTATTGCATCTATTAAAAAACAGTGTGACTGCCTCGTTGGCCGAGTGGTCGCAAGTGCGATTGCCAGGCAAGGGGTCTCGGGTTCGATTCCCGGGTCAGGCAAAGTATTACTGGGTTTAAAAAAAATCTCAGTGGTAGCACGTAGTCTGGAATTGTGGCCGGTATATGGCAATAGGTTCACCCCCTATTACATGGGACTCATAACATAAATAGTGAAAAGTGGGTGTTACATTGTTCAGTGGCATAATGTGCCTTCGGGGACAAAAGGCGTGATGTTATGTGATAAAAAACAGTAATAATTGAGTATGATTGTTTGTATTGCCAATTATTATGTATAACTTGTAGCGACGAATCATTATGATTTTAAATGAATAACAAATTAAATAATTATTGCTTCTTTCAAAAAACACTTATTATTTGTTATAGGATGATTGTTCGTATTACCAATTAACCCTAAGTTTTAACGACGAATCATTGTGGTTTAATAAAAATGGTTATTTTTCAATTACGGAGTATTTTATTCAATTTTTTATGACTTATGACTTATTTATTATGACGTTCTAGATTTATTAGAATGTTTAGACTAGGCCATACCAGTTTATCCTAGAGTGTGCGTCTTTATATCAGGATCAACTAGTTTGTCCTAGCCTAAACTAATTTATCCTATCGGGCTTAGGACAATTTAGTTTGAACTAGGCTATACTAGTTAATCCTAACGCGTATAGGAAGAACTAGTTTAGCCTAGGCAAAACTAGTTTGTCCTGAAATCGGATTTGGCCGGTAACATATACACAACTTAAAATATAACTAACTGAAAACTTAAATATTTACACCTTACAAAAGGAATAATAATGATAATGCTAAAAGTTAACTTACATTATTAAAACATCATTTTTGTTTCGAAACATCATATTGACAAAATAAAAATAAATAATCTAAATTAAATAAATAAATAAGAACAGTTAAATCGCACTCAAAACTTAAAAAGGTGATTAATTATCCAAATACATAGGTTATTATGACTGTATAGTTTATTTAGATAATTAGTTAACTAAATATTTTATCTGTACGACTTTTACACGAAAAATATTACTAGATAAAAATAAAAACAGTGATGTCAGAATAGCAGCATTATTAGCCCAATCAAGCCGCATTGCACACCATCCATGAGCAGTTCAAAAAGATATAAACTTCTCACAAAAAAAAATCCAACATTAGCCTACTCAGGTGTTGGTCAAGGCTTTTAGCTATTAGGCCATTGGCAATATAGGTACGAATATTGTACTAGATTTCATTTCATTTCATTTATTCATTAAACAATTTACATTGTATCTGACATAACATAACATAACATCCCGCCTTTTAACCCCGAAGGGGTAGGCAGAGGTGCACATTATGCTCCTGTACAGTGTAACACCCACCTTTCACTATTTATGTTATGAGTCCCATGTAATCTTGTATATAATATATTGTATATAATAATATGTAATAAAAAACATTGTAACTGAATGTCTTCATAATCGTAAATTACATTGCAATATAAATCCTATAGACATTTTTGTAATGGGATAGGGGCAAACGAACAGACGGATCACCTGATGGTAAGCAATCAGCGCCATCATGGACACCTGCAATACCAGAGGAGTCACAGGTGCGTTGCCGGCCTTTTAAAAAGGAATACGCATTTTTCTTGAAGGTAGTTTCGTTTCTGAAATACCGCCGACGACAGGTCATTCCAAAGTACGTTTTTGACATTTCAATAAAAGTATTGAATTTGACTACCTGTCAACTACAGTATTATCTATTTTTCGTCTTGAAAGTAACTATATGAAAGCATATAAATTAATAAATAATTGCAGATTCAGTGTTAGTATAGAACTTTTCGATAATTGTATAGCAGCTACCAAGTAAAATCTAACGGAGAAAAGTAAAACAAGAAATTAGACCTTAAAATACATTTATTATTATAATGGCAGAAAGAGTATTTAGCGGTTATTTACAAATAATAATTATTATTACAAAATAATACTATTAATGCTATTTACATTTAAACTTTGGCTGATCAGTGAATATTGATGACATGAATTAAAAATTACAATTACATACAATGTAATAAATTACTGATTTTATAATAAAATGAATCTTATTTACTTACAGTCAAACAATATTACAATATTACATTATAAAAAAGTATAATGTTCCATGGAGTTACTGTGGAAAAGCAGATTACTAAGCCATTGCACTCATGGAGATGGAGTCCTGGCTGCCTAGTGCGATTTTCACGTGATCGACATGTTACTGCACTTAGCCTCTGATTGATTGGTTGACTTAAAGCAGCTTTAGGAAACAGATAGTAATGTTCCCTAAGATCAGAAAAGGAGGATTCTCCGACCAGGCGAGGTGTTCGTGTCTGGCGGGCTTTCTGCCCAACAGTTCGTTTTTTTCGTTCGTTGGGATTTTCTATCCGTGCTAATTCGCATGTATGATGTGCGATGTAGGATTTTTGTGACGTCATCCGTTGATTTGGTTCTCATCGATGGTCTATGTGGCTTAGCTGTCGTTTGACATGGTGTCGTGTGTCACCACACAGCCAATCAGAGTGACGAACGTCATCAACATGTCGATCTCGTTACCTTAAAACAAAGTTGTTTTGCCTAGTAACCAAATCACATCAGATATCATGAAACCAGGAACGGTGGTGGCACCACGAGGGTCAGAATTTGATACTAAGCGATAGTAGTTGATGCGATGATGATGAAGATGATATGATACCGCTGATTACTTCCCCAGCGCCTTGGCTGAGCCCAGGACCTCGACAGCGGGTCCTGCCTTGATGATACCGTCTCGGATGTTGCGGCCCATCTTCTCCTGGAAAATAGAAAGAAAAATGATTAGTGTGTGTTGTGTATAAAATGGAACATGTATATCTTAAAGTGTGAGATCTACGTATCTTAAAGGTTGTGGGAGACCCAATTACCTTCCCTCCTTCCCCAATCTCCCCAATCCCTGAATCTCAACAATTCTCTAATTCCTAATCCCCAAAAAGCCGCTAACGCAGTTGCGTTACCGGATTAGGATTACCGTGTCCATGGGCGACACCGATTACTTAGCTTTACCTCAAACCTTTTCCGACTTAGAAGAAGCATTTAATCAGCAGTAGACACTTATAGGCTGGCGACGTGATGTAAATAAAAGAAAGAGAAGTGTGTCATTCTATTTCTATATATTTCCTTCATTATATTTCAAGAATTGAAAAATTACCCAACCATAGGAGATGGTATTAGAAGCAACATGTATAAAGGTACTCACGATCTTCTTGAAGACCTTCCACCTCGGTTCTGGCGCGGCGCTGACGGCACTGAGCGCAAGCAGACACGCGAACACGAACAAGAACACACGAGAGAACTTCATCCTGCTGCTGAACTGATGCTGTGTGGCACTGGTGCTGTACTGCGAGACACTGTGGCTCTGTACTCAATGATGCTACACTTGTGCACATCTCCTATTATATACCGTCATAATCAAAACATTGGTTGCTCTCTGAGAAATCATGTACAAGGTAATATAAACGTTGACTCGTTACAGTTAGAGTAGTTTATTCTTCGTGTTTACTTATAACGTTGTGTTGTGTTACTCAATTGCGGTGAACAAGCTATTATAAACTTTGAATCTCGATGATAAGGTATATTTCAACTCGTACATTTACGCTTACATGTGTCTTATGTTGATAACAGTCCAGGAAACTCCCGTATTCGGCGTATTTATTTAATCCCACACATCATTTTTTAAATGTTTGATTGTTATATTATGCGAAATATTAATTATTTAGTGTAACTGTATAAGATTCGAGAGAAATTCAAGCCTTTTTATTAAACCAAATACTTTTACTAGTTTTATCTTATCTTCTACTCATATACTTTTACCATACACCATGGAATCTATTTCATTTTCGTCCGGCTACAAAATAAATTGCCATAAGGAGTAAATATTATAGACTGCCTCGTTGGCTGAGTGGTCGCAAGTGCGACTGCCGGGCAAAGGGTTTCGGGTTCAATTCCCAGGTCAAAGTCAAAAGTCAAAATCATTTATTTCAAGTAGATCAGGAAGGCACTTTTGAACGTCAACAACAAAAATTTAGAAGTGTAGTTAGTTGCTCAATTCAAGGTGTAGATTCCTATGGAGAAAAACGAGCAAGAAACTCCATAGGTTACTCTTTTTCAATCGGGTTTACAATACAATTCTCTAGTTACATAGTTTTGTTGGTTCGATTGTGTGAGAACAATGCAACACTTAAAACAACAAAAGTCAAAGAGATTGAAAAAGAAAATAACCTTGAGGAATAAAAAATCATACAGTCTGGAGCTGACCAGTCCTAATTGACGGTGCCCGTTCATGAACATGACACGTACCCCAGCACCGTGGTCGGGCAAAGTACTACTGAGTTTTTTTTTAATTCTTAGTTGCAGCGCGGAGTCTGGAATGGTGCCCGGTATATGGCAATAGGCTCACCCCCTATTACATGTGATTTATAACATAAACGCTAACATGTGTTGTGTAGTGAAAAGTGGGTGTTACAGTGGCACAATGTACACCTCTGCCTACCTGTTCGGTGATAAAAGGCCTGATATTATGTTATGTAATGCGAAAGTTTGTGAGGATGTATGTGTGTGTGTGTGTGTTACCCACTCAAAATAATTATGTAGGTCATTGTAGGTACACAATATTTCATTTATTCATACAAGTTATTAACTTATTAAGTGTGGGAGAGCCATGCTTCGGCATGAATGATACCACAACCTCACAGAAAACAGACGTGAAACAACGCTTCCGTTGTATTTCGTCGTGTGAGGGAGGTTACCGGTGACATGATGTGTTACAAGACACATCTGGTGTTTCGGGTGTCCATGGGCGATGCTGATTGCTTACCATCAGGTGATCCGTCTGCTCGTTTACCGGCTTATCTCATAAAAAAAGGTTTTTGGCTTCACCCACGTTTCCGTAGAATAAAAAGTACTTAGCTCATTTGTTATTATAGATACCATACCATAATCTATCCCTATTTCATTTCCAATCACCTTAGCCGGACATAATATACTGACCAGATTGGCGATATATTAAAGAAGGGCCAAATTAAAAGTACCCTTAACCGACGAGCATGCATGAAAAGATTGATAACTGTTGATGAAGCGAAAGAAATATGTAGGAATCATAGTAATTGGCGTTCCAAAGTCTCTGCCTACCCAACAAATATATCTGTGTAATTAGTAGAGCTTTTCTCAGTACATTCACGTGAGTAACCCCCGATTTTTAGTTAACCACTTTTCACTATTTGTGTTATGAGTCTCATGTAATGGGTGAGCGTATTGCCATTGGTTTGAGTCTTTCTCCGTAAATACCACGGCATATTTTAAAGACTATTCCCATAATGTAAAAGTTTCCATTGAAGATATTAAGACTTATACTTTTATATTTAAAATGATCTTCATTTTAACAAAACATGTAAAAATGTCAATAAAAGCTAAGAATAGAAACAAAATTCTCAGATACGCGGGACTTAATTAACGGCTCAAACTCGGGGCATTCCGGGACTGAACTGTGCATAAACGTTATCAAAACCAATTATAAAGCCAGAGGACACACAACAAAACACACTTTATTGTAGAGTATCAACGTTTATATTAGCTTGTACACGATTTCTCGGAGAGCAACCAATGTTTTGATTATGACGGTATATAATAGAAGATGTGCACAAGTGTAGCATCATTGAGTACAGAGCCACAGTGTCTCGCAGTACAGCACCAGTGCCACACAGCATCAGTTCAGCAGCAGGATGAAGTTCTCTCGTGTGTTCTTGTTCGTGTTCGCGTGTCTGCTCGCGCTGAGCGCCGTCAGCGCCGCGCCAGAACCGAGGTGGAAGGTCTTCAAGAAGATCGTGAGTACCTTTATACATGTTGCTTCTAATACCATCTCCTATGGTTTGGTAGTATTCCGATTCTTGGATCAGTCAGGGACTAGAATGACACACTTCTCTTTCTTTTATTTACATCACATCGCCAGCCTATAAGTGCCTCCTGCTGAGTAAATGCTTCTTCTAACTCGGAAAAGGTTTGAGTATTAATCAATATGTCTGCTCAGGACGGAATGTCGATTTCAATTTTTTATGGGATAAGCCGGTAAACGTGCACGATGGTAAGCAATCGGCGGCGCCCATGGATACCTGGAACACCAGAGGCGTGACAATTGGATTACCAGCCTTTTGAGGATTGTTGAGGATTCAGGGATTAGGGAGATTGGGGAAGGGGTAGTATAATTAAAAAACTGTTGATTTGACTGCCTCGTCGTGTTGTCGCAAGTGCGATTGTCGTGCAAGAGGTATCAGGTTGGATTCCCTGGTCGGGCAAAGTATTACTGGGTTTTAGTAGTAGTAGCACGGAGAAATGTGCCCGGTATATGGTAATGCCCCTTCGGGGATAAAAGGCGTGATGTTATGTTATGTTATGTTGATTTGAAAATAACAGTATATAAACTGTAGTAGGTACATTTTGTATGTATGTGATGTTATGTTTTGATTTACAAATTATATTATCTCTGTGATGTTTAAATAGGTGAGTGCACGCTTGTAAAAACATCACTGTCAATGAATATCATAATAAGGTTGGCCCACTGATAATTAGTGATAAGTCTAACTACTATACAATACAAGTATGTATATTGAGTAAGTCTTGGGTCATATTATTTATGTAGACGATCTTGATTGCATATTATGAACTTTGATTTCGCAAATAATTATAATTACTAATACTTATTATTCATAAACTGTCTCTTTGGCCGAGTGGTCACAAGTGCGACTGCCCGGCAAGGGGTCTCGGGTTCGATTCCCGAGTCGGGCAAAGTATTACTGGGTTTATAAAAATCTCAGTAGTAGCACGGAGTCTGGAAATGTGCCCGATATATGGCAATAGGCTCACTCCCTATTACATGGGACTCATACTCCTTTGGGGATAAAAGGCGTAATGTTATGTTATGTTATAATTACCAATACTTATTATTCATTTTGATTTGCTAATACTTCCATTCAGCACAGAAACGAAACTAAAAATTGATTCAGTGTAGAGATCTGTGCCTTTAGCCAAAAACCACTTTAGCGCTTGTTTACCGAGAGAGTAGAAAACTGTAGAAAAGTGTATGGGGATTACAATGACAAGTGTCAAAATTTACGTCAATTCCATATAATTTTGGTTTTCTACTCTACAAGTAGACAAGCGCTAAATGGCATTTGGCTACAGCTGCTGTATTTTATTACCTGCATAGTAAATGACTATGCTGACTGTACCTATGAAGTTTCAATGAATGTACAGTTTTATTCCACATATGAAATTCCATAGATAATAAAATTATTAACTGCCTCGTTGGCCGAGGGGTCGCCATTGAGATTGCCAGGCAAAGAGCGTCGGGTTCGATTCCCGGGTCGAGCAAATATTACTGAGATTTTTTTTTAAATCTCAGTAGTAGCACAGAGTCTGCAAAAAAAAAATAAAAAAAAAAATAGTGAAAAGTGAGTGTTACATTTTACAGCGGCATTAAGTGCCATAATGTGCACCTTTGCCTATCCCTTCGGGGATAAAAGGCGTGATGTTATGTTAAATTCTGTTCACTATGACTATGAGCTATATTATAGGGAATCCTAAAAACAGTGTTTGATAGTATTTTTTCTTTTTTTCTCAGGAAAAGATGGGCCGCAACATCCGAGACGGTATCATCAAGGCAGGACCCGCTGTTGAGGTCCTGGGCTCAGCCAAGGCGCTGGGGAAGTAATTAGCAGCATCGTCATCTACTGATCTATTCAAATTAATGTTAAGTTTTTAATTCAAAACAACTATCATAGTTTTGTGCTCTGCCAAAGCCTTACTCTATTTATTATGAATAGTATTATTTTGTAAATAATAATTACGCATTATTGTTTTGTAAATAGTCAATAAATACTCATTCAGCCATTATAATAATAAATGTATTTTAAGTTTTTATTTCTGTTTTTTTATTTCACTTTTGTTATAATTTCCTTATGTTTATATAGACCTCTCTGTGAATTACATTTTTAATTACTACTTAATAAGAAATAAAATGTAATAATATTTAAAAATATGAAACATACGAGCCGACCAGTAGCGGGAGCATTGTCAAAGCTACCGGTGGTAAGGGCTCCAGAGACAAAATCCTCACGATACGTGTCTTTTCTAGGAGAACTGCCTTCTGTATCAGGCCCTTGATCCATCCATCTAATTATTAGATATTATTAGCTTCTCCCGGAGTTACACGCACTGCTAAGGTCTTACTAATTAATCGTAACGAGATATTGTTTTGACTAGACTAGACAACATCACGCCAAGATAACCGCATGCAGCTTATCGAAATTCCTTTTAACTTGTACCATTATTATCGCACGCGCTAATTCACCTGTTCCTCGCACTCTGGCCGCGCTCAATGATATCCTGGATTCCAATCCAACTAGTGATCTGTTTGCGGACGGATGGAAGGAGATTTTATCAGAATGCTTGAAGTACTGCGAGAGAAACTCATGAATGGTTGTTTTAACTAAGTTTTACTTTTCTTTTGTTTATGTTTTACTAGCTTTTACCCGCAGCTTCGCTCGCGTCACAAAAGAATAAAAAGTGGCCTATGTGACTTATACCAATACACACAACGCCATCTATACCAATACTTTTGTTTTTCCTCGGGAATATCAATTTTTTCCGGGTTAAAAAGTACCCTATTATTTAATCCGGACTTCTAACTTTACGTCTGCAAAAATTCAAAGCAATCGGTTGAGTAGTTACGGCGTGAAGGTGGAACAAACAAACAAACAAACAAACTCACTTTCAGATTTATAATATTATTATATATTATATATTATATTATTATATTATATATTATATATATATATTATATTATATTATATTATATATTATATTATATTATTATTATTATATTATTATTATGTATGTCTTTACCATTCACGGGACCACAGGGTCCCGGTCATTTGGGAGGCGTACGAGGGGCCGAAGCCAACTGCGCAGAGGCCCTTTAGACAACTTTAATATAAATGTAATGGACACACAAACCGGCGACTATCCCTGTATGCACTATGGAAATGCACCCAAGGACAGTCCCCGGTTAGTGTAGGACTATTGTGGATAATGGAAAAAAAAAATAAAGGTAGGGCTATGGATGGGTTGCTGTGGACTGGTAAATTAGGAACTATGGATGACTATGGCACCTGCCGAAACAATGTAATTTTTACACGTAAAAATGGCAGGCGGAGACTCGCCAACTCACTGACCGGGCCCCGGGAATGGTTGCTAGATATAGCAACAGAGGGGCAACGAGAATGTGAGTGGCTGAAGGGTTAAGAAACTACCACCGCTTTCTACTCAGATCATCTGCTCCAGCCGAAGCCTCCTGCATCCCTGGCCCACTCGCGACTTACGAATAGTTTCTTACCCTCCGAGCAGGATCACTGCTCTCGCGACTCCACTCTGGACGGCCAATGAAGGCAAGCCAGAGGTGGGAGACCTGTTCCTTGTCATCTTTCACTCCAGCCAGCCAATTAAGGCAAGCCGGAGAAGAAGGAACGGTGACTTCTCCCTGGAGCACTCGGGATGATGGTAGCCCGCGGGATCGCTAATGCCCGTCACCTCGCCTCAAGGTGCCCTGCGGGCTTATTATTATTATTATTATAGTAAGGACTAGTAAGGATAAGGATTGTTGTAAATATGTCAGTTACTGTAATTGGATTTTTATGCCGTTGTGACTATTAAAAATAAATAAATAAAATCTACTAAAACTACGCACATAGTTATCCCTATAAAATTTATTTAGCATTAAAAGCCTTCGTTGACAAATAGACTACTTAACACAAAAATAAAGATACCATTAAAACTTGTAGTTTCGGACATTAGCACGTCAAACATACTATTTACACAGCTTTTATCTATACAGATAATTGAAATTGGCGTGTCTGTTTGGAATATTAAAATAACCCCTTTTATTTATTTATTTATTTATTTAGTCTTTAATGTACACAATTTTAATATGGCACATAAGGCGGACTTAATGCCATATGGCATTCTCTACCAATCAACCTTAGGGTTTAAATAGAAAATCTGCGAAAAATAAGGTACGGAGAATAAACTAACAGCAAAGAGAGAGAGAGGAAAAAATAAATAAAAAGGTAATTATTAAATAATATAGCTATACATATATTACATAATAGTAAATAGTATATATAGTCATATGCATAAAATATATAGGTATAAATACCTATACCTAGCGTTGCAGCGATTTTAAGTAAAATTCCTTTTATGAATATACATACGATACACATGCCAAGTAACATTTTTTATGATTTTTTTCTGTCAGTCTATTGTACTGGCTAATGTCTGGAATGACTGGACTGATTTTGCAAGACTTTTATTGGCATATACCTACTAAGGAGTAATATATTAAGCTACTTTTATTTTGGAAAGTTTAAACAAAAAAAAGTTTTTTATTATTATGCCCTTTGTCTCTGAAGGGATAGGCAGAGGTGCACATTACGGTACTTAATGCCACTGTACAATGCAACATCCACTTTTCACTATTTATGTTATGAGTCCCATGTGATGGGGGTGAGCCTATTGCCACATACCGGGCACATTTCCAGACTCCGTGCTACTTTTGAGAATTTCTTATAATACTCAGTAATATTTTACCCGACCAGGGAATCGAACCCGAAACCCCTTGCCCGGCAGTCGCATTAGCGACCTCTCGGCCAACGAGGCAATCAGACAAAAAAAAGTTAAAATCAATGTACTGCGGACGAAGTCGTGGGCAACAGCTAGCATACTATTTAGTATAGTTATTAGTTACTTCCCTGATTTCTGAAAGGTGGATGAACTCAAATTATATCAGCTATTGTAAGTACCAAATTGTCTACTCATATCTGGACACAATATAATTATTATTGTTTCGAAAATTCTTATATTTTTATCCTTACCATCCTTACTAATATTATAAATCGGAAAGTGAGTTTGTTTGTTTGTTCCACATTGACGCCGTTACTACTAAACCGATTGCTTTGAATTTTTGCAGACGTAAAGTTAGAAGTCCGGATTAAATAATAGGGTACTTTTTAACCCGGAAAAATTTGACATTCCCGAGGAAAAACAAAAGTATTGGTATATGGCGCTGGATATTGTGATATGTCACATAGGCTACTTTTTATCCTTTTGTGACGCGAGCGAAGCCGCGGGTAAAAGCTAGTTACCTATATTTGATGGGCTGATTTTGTGTAGAAACAGTAGCTTACTGAACTGTATATTTTACAGTGAAGCCATAATAGGGTAGATGCCTAATTTTTATTTTAATGTCCGTCTGGTAGACCATTTTAAATCAATAGACACGTATTTTTTATTTTCTTACAGAATCGAATACTTTCGACGATATATTGATTTGAAATGTAGCGTGACGTCACTTCTATGTACATTTTATACGTGGAAATGACGTTTAAAAACCCACTCTTAAACTTTGATTCGTTTTATCTAAGTATTGTTTTATTATACGACAAAATAAAAAAAAAATACGTGTCTAATATTTTTTCATTGCCTAACTTTAACTAACGGACTAAATATTTTTAATTTTCACACCCTATCATCATCCCAATTCTTATAAGCATTGGTCAGTTTAGTTGGCAACCAATTGTTACTGTCTTTGTATTTAAGTAATCTTTATTTTCTTATTTGCGTACAAGGACGTATAAACAACGACTGTGGCATCTGGCTACTATAGACTTACACGCAGACTACACACACATTGACACCAAGGACATATGTCGCGGAACATGGCCCGGCATTAACATAACGCCTTTTATCCCCGAAGGGGTAGGCAGAAGTGCATATTATGGCACTTAATGCCACTGTACAATGTAACACCCACTTTTTCACTATTTATGTTATGAGTCCCATGTAATAGTGGATGAACCAATTGCCATATACCGGACACAATTCCAGACTCCATGCTACTACTAACAAATTCTTGCCCCACACTACTGACTGCCTCGTTGGCCGAGTGGTCGCAAGTCTCCTCATTAGCTAGCATACCATTAAGATCACAATTTGTCGCGGGAAAGAACCATTTAAAGCTAATCTGACCAAGTAAACTAAAAAGTTACATAAACAATGAACAGTTATCACCTCAGACAGACAGAGTGTAAACAACCGAAATATTTTTCCTCATTTTTGTAAACTTCATTTAAATATTTGAACACCAGGCGTGCAGATCAATCTACACTAAAATGTCCAATTTCGTTATCCGATTTTAGACTTTATCGTTGAGGAAAATAGGTTTAAATTTGTTTGATAGGTTAGAGAAGCTTGATGTGCCGTTATCTGTATAATGAATCATCTTTTGTTTTGCGGTGAAGTACCGGAGTGGGTTAATGGAGTATAAAGATAAAGAGTACCATCTTATATGACAATGCCACTAAAAATATCAAGCTATGCAAAAACCAGTATAAACTGACCTACGAATGTGTGGGAATATCACAGAAAGCGAGACGACGATAAACTGGATTTGTATAGGTCGATGTGTCGTCGTGTGTACATTGAACCGTAAATTTGAAAATCTGCCAGTATAGGGTAACAGGGATGATGAAAAGGTATGAAAAATTAAAATCGAATTAGTCTGTGCTACCACTGAGAATTTAAAAACAAACCCAGAAATACTTAGACCGACGCGGGAATGGAACCCGAGACCCCTTGCCCGGACGTCGAACTTATAAT